GTTGGGGGATTGACGTGTGCCCTACACCTAGTTGTGCGTGTGGTCATCCTAGGGACATATGTAGCACGGTGTCATCAGCTTCATGTAACCTACCTGTTGGTGCTGGCAAGCTGCATGTAATCTACCTGTTGGTGCTGGCAAGCTGCATGTAATCTGGCTGTTGGTGCTGGCAAGCTGCATGTAATCTGGCTGTTGGTGCTGGCAAGCTGCATGTAATCTAGCTGTTGGTGCTGGCAAGCTGCATGTAATCTAGCTGTTGGTGCTGGCAAGCTGCATGTAAGGCAGCTGTTTGTGAGGCAAACTTCCCGGATGTGTGGGACCATTAGTGGCTATTATAACGTACCTTGTTAATGGTTTGAGACACATATTGACTAATGCCTCATAGTGTATAATGTTGTATGTAATTCGCGTACCTTCATTGTGTGATGCATAATGATGTATAAAATAAATGTACGGAATTATTTAGACTTGTTTCTTGACAATACAGCTGATTCAGTTCTCTTTATTTTGATCTTTAGTTAATAATTGATGCGAGCGTTCGATTAGTTGGGCTGTCACGCTTATGTGTGTAGTATCAGTCCCATCTCACTATTTGCTACTTCGTAAAAAATTGAACTTTTTGCCTAACCAGAAACCTGCGAACTCTAGCACACCTTTCATGACTGATGCGTTGAAAACATCAGTATTACGCTGCTTTTGATTGTTAGTAATACGTGCTGCCAACTTGGAGAGATTGGTCAATTTCGTACAGGTTGCGACGTATTGGTTGAGTGTTAGGTGGTATATCAATTAACAATTAATAATTATCTTAAATTATGCAGGTTACACATTCTTAAGTTATCGTCCTAAAATGATAGTACACTTTGCAACTATTTGGTCGAACAACAATGGTCAACAACACTCAACAATGCATCAATGGGCTGTTGCACCCAGCAATTTCTCCAGCTTTGAAAGGGGCCGTCATTGTGCAGCAGTACTCCACTCTAGAGATCACTAGCGTCTTGAACAGTATCATCATCGGTATAGCATCTCTTGTTTGAAAGGGTCTTATTATCCAATCTGTCATTTTTCTTGCAGTTGTGCCGGCTACTTTATTGTGTTCTTTGAAGGTAAGGTCTTCCGACATGAGTACACCCAAATCCTTTACATTGCCTTTTCGTTCTATGTTATGATTTGCCTGAGTTTTGTACGTGGTTTCCGTTTATATATTTTCATTTTTTCCGTAGCGCGTGAGCTGGAACGCACGAGCCTCACCTCCCCTCCCTCTTCCCTTCCACCCGCACCACCACTACCAGTTCAACTTTCATCTGCAACATCGATTCCGTAACTATCTGACTTTGTGTCTATCCGACCTCGTAACTATCCGTGGCTATCTGTAACTAGCCAGGTGCAGCTGTGGTTGGGTCTGCCTCATGATGGCCATAACCTGGTGCAGCTGTGGTTGGGTCTGCCTCATGGTGGCCATAACCTGGTGCAGCTGTGGTTGGGTCTGCCTCATGGTGGCCATAACCTGGTGCAGCTGTGGTTGGGTCTGCCTCATGATGGCCATAACCTGATGCAGCTGTGGTTGGGTCTGCCTCATGATGGCCATAACCTGATGCAGCTGTGGTTGGGTCTGCCTCATGATGGCCATAACCTGATGCAGCTGTTGTTGGGTCTGCCTCATGATGGCCATAACCTGGTGCAGCTGTGGTTGGGTCTGCCTCATGATGGCCATAACCTGATGCAGCTGTTGTTGGGTCTGCCTCATGATGGCCATAACCTGGTGCAGCTGTGGTTGGGTCTGCCTCATGATGGCCATAACCTGATGCAGTATTCCAGGGGCTGTGTCTTGAGATGAGTGTGTGGAGATAATAGAAGGCGGCGGGTAATGCCTCCGCCATGATGTGTGCGGGTCGTGGAGAGGATGGGAGAGCTTGGGGTCGGAGTAATAACAATGATTAAGGTATCGCCCGACCTGTCCATCATCAGCCGGTCCACCTAGCCAGCCAGTCACGCGCCGCCACCCGCCACCCGCCGCTCTCATTGGTCGCCGCCGCCGCCATCGCCTACCTATCTTCCAGAAGGGCTTATTTTGAATCTTCCCCCCCATCCCCCCATCCCACATTTCTCCCCTCTTTTCCATCCCTCCCCAACTTCATTCCTCCCTCTCTCACCACCCCCTCCCTATCCTCCAACCCTCCCAAACCCGCTGGGTGCAGCCAAAATCGAAATATCTTTTGTACATTTGCGTTAGGAGTGCTGGAAAAAAAAGCCTGTCTCATATGCAGGAAAACATAGGAGGAGCGCCAACATCGCATGCATTGGTTACATAACATGCCATTGCAAGACGGCCAGCATTTCCCAACTTGTAATTTGCATGTAAAGATATATGGAGGTTGTTGCATTATGCGGAGTAATTACCCACCTCGCCACCGCTTGCCCTCCTCTTCCCCCTTCAAACGACCGGCGTCGATCTTATGTACAAATGCCTTTAATTCCACTCGCTGTAATCCACAGTGAAAAGGCCAGTTTGAAGGCCCCGGTAAATTGTGATTGTTTCTTTGAGGTAGTTATTAGAGCGGGTGCTGTGTCCTCGCCCAGTGTGAGACCTCGGCTGGTCGAGGTCTCACACTGGGCGCTTGCTGGTGGTGCAGCGTGAGCACTTTGGTGAGGGGAGTGGTGAATGGGACCCCTTGGTGATGGGGGTGCCTGAGACCGTTGGTGATGGGGTGGTGCCAGAGACCGTTGGTGATGGGGTGGTGCCAGAGACCGTTGGTGATGGGGGTGCCTGAGACCGTTGGTGATGGGGGTGCCAGAAACCGTTGGTGATGGGGGTGCCTGAGACCGTTGGTGATGGGGTGGTGCCAGAGTCCGTTGGTGATGGGGGTGCCAGAGACCGTTGGTGATGGTGCCAGAGACCGTTGGTGATGGTGCCAGAGACCGTTGTTGATGGTGCCAGAGACCGTTGGTGATGGGGTGCCAGAGACCGTTGATGATGGTCTCTGGAGCTTGGTCTAACAGGCTGTTGCTGTGTAATCATCAATGGTCCACAACTCTTCAAGCTCTCCCACTTCACCCCGTCCCTCTCTCACCATCTCCACCGCATCAGCCCTTCAGTCCAGTCCTTCCGTATCAGTCCAAATTTTTACAAGTCAAGCCTGGCCTCGGGCCGGGCTTGGGGAGTAGAAGAACTCCCAGAACCCCATCAACCAGGTATCATCCAAGCCTCCAAAACCCGCTGGCTGCCTCCAAAATCGAAATATCGTCTGTACAATTGAACAGGAATGCTGGTAAAATTCTATTTTGTTCACTTAGTTCAATAGATTCAGTGAGGAGGCAAGGAAGCGCGGCCCCAGTTCCCGAGTGTGACAATAGAACAAGTCTGGCAGTCGCCCGCCTCTGATTTTGATTTGATTGTTGCGTGTGTTGTTTAATCGTCCTGTGTTTAGACTCGTCTCCGCGGGTTGGCTTCAACTGAAAACATTGCCATGTCGGGTCGTACGTCCTGGGTCGTGAGTCGTACGTCCTGGGTCGTGAGTCGTACGTCCTGGGTCGTGAGTCGTACGTCCTGGGTCGTGAGTCGTACGTCCTGGGTCGTGAGTCGTACGTCCTGGGTCGTGAGTCGTATGTCCTGGGTCGTGAGTCGTATGTCCTGGGTCGTGAGTCGTATGTCCTGGGTCGTGAGTCGTATGTCCTGGGTCGTGAGTCGTATGTCCTGGGTCGTGAGTCGTACGTCCTGGGTCGTGAGTCGTACGTCCTGGGTCGTGAGTCGTATGTCCTGGGTCGTACGGCCTAAGGCAAGTCATTGACGTATCAGTTTTTTCCTCCCATTTCGGTTTGGCACAGTGAGAGCCTCCTCACCAGGTGATGGTGCCAGAGTGGGGCACATTCAATACACAATGTTGCTTCACAGCGAGCACTTGCCTTGAGGAGGGAACACCAGAGCTTGGATCATCTCAATGTTAATGGTGAGCGCCTCGCTGCTCCCCTCACCAACCTGCCCTCACTCTCCGCCAGCCAAGAAGCTCCTGGACCCCGATTTACCTCTCGTCCCCACCCCACTCTGTACATCAGACACTGAACTGCACTGAGCAGCTAAACACACCAAACGACATGTTGGTAGTGCTGATATCAAAGTAGAAATGGTAAATGTGGTTATTGTCCTGGTATACTGTGTAAGTCGGCGGTTAAATACCAGCTAAGGAAAATATAATACTGTTTTGAACAACAGCCTAGTGGACCAAACTCTCACAAGTCGAGCCTGGCCTCGGGCCGGGCTTGGGGAGTAGAACAACTCCCAGAACCCCATCAACCAGGTATCCCATAAACTCAGCCCCAGTTGTCATATTGCTTGGAGACTTCAATTTGCGCCATCTAGAATGGAACCTGGCAAATACAGTTATATCTGTCAGAATCTCGGGAAGCAGTCTAAGCGAACAGTCACATATGGTGTCAGTTAGCCACCTTCTAACACTGACGTCTAACACCGTCAATGTTAGACGGTGACTAACATTGCCACCGCCGCCCACTGGATGGGTGTAGGGAGCAGAATAGGCTCATTAATACCGTATACACCCAGTGTATTATAAATATAAGTTACTTAGTATGAAGACCATTGTGGTCCATTAACTGACCCCATTATATGATGCGGTAACCTTAACTTTCCCCTCCCACGGGATGGCTCTCAAGTCCGTAATAAATTAATGTATATATAACGTACATCTATTAAAGTCAATAAATACGATTTACATCTAATCTAACCGTGTTACAATTTACTTTACCAATTATTCCTTAACCCTATCAATATGATGAGAAACCAGAAAGCAACGAGTCATGGCGTTAACATGCAAAATATTCGAAAGGCGGGGGGCCAGGAGCTATCGTTCGAGCCTGCATGCAACATGTTATGTACACTTATGGTCTTGCCAAGTTGCTGGGACCAGCTGCCACACACCGTCATAACGGAGTCCAACTTGCCGAATTCAGTTCCCAAATAGGACGAGAGAGATAGATAGATA